CCATAACAATAGCCAAATGTTACCAAACACCACTCAGTGTTGCCACTGAAATAAAACTAAGCGAGGACAAAGGTTATGTCATTAATACGAATATGGCTTTGATAGTTTCTGTTGTTTCGTGCCCTAATGGAATTACAGACATTTATATTTAAGCAAATTATGATAATACTAGGATTATTATAACAAGGTTGCCGCGTGTTGAATATTAGATGACAGTTTTCCATGACTAGGTATACCTTGTTAATTTCATTTAACCTACTATAATTTAACATTATTACATATTTTTTCTTGAATAATTAATAATATAAAATTCTCTAAGAGAACGACGTTTTGAACACCTTCGTTTCTCTGTCTACGATCGCCTTGAATGCCGGGTGACATTTGACAACCCTATCGGGTTCGAGTAAAAGAAATGACGCATTACCGGTTACCGGATGTAGGCGGACATTTTTTGAATACGGATATATTTCGTTAGTTACCTTTCTGACGTTTTTGGAAACGAAAAGCTTTGAATAAAATAGAACTGCATAAACTGATTTAGTTACGAAGAAAAGTGTATAATATCGAACAATATATTATATAAATAGATACAAAGTACCTACTAGGTAGAATAAAAATAATCTATATTGTCTATTAGGTAAATTAACGTTATCATCATGGCAGTTTATGGTTTCAATGCATAATATATGGAAACTGTCGCCAAGCGTGAATTAGCATCTTCTTCTAGAATAATACCTACTGTTGGTTCCATAATTAAATCATATTTTTTTACCGATTATGCTAAAATAAAGAATATCTTGGAAACTAAACAATTTTACCAATGTTTTGAATATTTTAATTAATTTTCCTTTAGCAAACTTTTAAAGAACTCATATTAATATTCAAACTTATTAAAAAGTTGAAGAAATAAGTCTTGAAACACTAGGTAAACCAATCATTGCCTCCTTTAATTTGCATTTAATTTGGTTTTTTATAAATTTTGGTGTGAGCTAGGTAGATTTAATAAAATGTGTTTTAAGCTTTATATTACACTTACTTTAAAACCATGACTTTTACGACGTGGTACTTACTTAGATAATACTTACATTGGAATCTACTTACAACTTCAAAGCTTCAGACCATAAACTTTAAGTCATAATTCAAATTGTCAGCCATAATGTAGAAATAACATCGTTTTAATAGCATAAAAAGACTCAACCGAACTCCTAAATATTTTTAACTAGCAACCACTGTCCATCATAATGAACGAACAAGTTAATATTAATAAAAAAAGCACCTGCGGCGCCGGGCCCCTTAGTTCAACGTACCAGGTCGACGCACCACACTGTACCGTACGCCGAGAGCCATAAGAAATGAACGCCCAGCCAACCTGACCAAATCTGGAAGTGTTCACGCACGGAACAAATGGACGCATGCAAAACGTCTCCGCGACGCAGCCGGGTTGAGCCATTAACAACCAACCGTGACGTCATCGCATAGCACAAAACAGGTTACAGGTGCTTCTATAAGACTGTCTTTTCGGAAAATAAACGAATTTCGACTAGTCTTAGTTAAACAATTGGCATAATTGTTAATTTTATTGAGGTGAATCGTTTCTCTTTATTGGCGCGATATTTTCTATGGAGTCGAGATAGCTACTTAATTGGAAAGACATTTTTATAGTTTCGTGGTTCATTAAAAATTACTTACAATGTTTTTGGCTCATGTCATGTAGGTTGCTGTCGTCATGTTAACAAACGCGTGTAGTTAGGTGGAGAGATGCGGTTTCGCCCTTATCATCACCGGATTTTTTACCGTAATTGCTTCATTGATTATTTTTGATTGATGAAATAAGAAATAAACTTATAAGTATATCTAAAAGATTAATGTAACTATTTGATCGTTAAAGGTTTAAACTCCTTGCAATTAGTAAATAACAATATATTTTTCTTTACATCTGTATTTTCCAATTAGAATTTTACCTACATTTTACAATGCATAACTGTGGAGGCATATTTATTAGATAGAACTAGGTACTATTTCTTAAATGACTATCAATCATGTTAGCATGTATATCAATAATACTTATAAGTAAAAAAATGTGGTAAAAAAATCACTAAGTGTATACCACACTTAGTGATTTTTTTACCACATTTTTTTACAATTATCACAAGCTACGATGAGCAACGTAGCCAATGAGCAATTTATTTAACATTTGTTTTTTTCCAGAAAACCTTTCTCCAATTTTCAGCGCCATTTTGAATTACATCTTCCTCGAAAAAGCAATTTTTTACGAAAACTATTTTATAACTTTTCTTATTTCTGCGAATCACAAATAACTAGGACTCAAATAACATAATAGGAACGGTATATTATTTTGTTTAAATACAACTTCATCGTAAAAAATCTATAACAAAAAAATGTTTTGATACGGTTCAGACCTTTTTTGTACGAGAGAGGTCAATAGACGCACCGGCCACAGATTAAATACTTCCATTGATTGAACGATTACCCTTTGATGATTACGGACGGTAAATTGTATGTATTGTATTAATAATTCTTTGAACGTAAGACACAGGACTCGGGATGTGTGTGTGAAATATTAATAGTGTATGTAAATTGGGTAACAGTGGCATGATGTTAGTGAACTATGAACGATTCAGTTCTGTGTGAAGTAGGCATCATTGATTAACATTGCAGCTGGCTGGCTGTTAAATAAAAAAAAAAGATTGGCGTTCGAAATTATTCTAAATTTAAAAAAGTGTAAAGAAAGATATGTGTCATGATTTATTTTCATAATGTTAATTTATAAATGTCAGTTTTTTCAAATAAAGAACTCTAATAAAGCAAATGAAACTTTTCATAGCTGTCAAGTTTCTTCGACTGAAGGAACAAAATGGCTATTGCCCGGTTCCTATATTTAACGAATCGTCGTTGTATACGCATTACGACCAAATGACATTACGAATAGTTATCTTGACCGTCTACTGACGGTTAAAATGTTTATAGGAACACCACAGACACCATAGATCTCCATACAATTCGCTTACCGACATCCGTTAGTTGCAAACCGTCAGTAAGTTGCACGACGAGACGTTTGTTATAGGAACGGTTTTAGCTTACGAGTCGTATATAAAACTACTATTCGTAACTAAAACGGATCGTTTCTCAACTATAGGAACCGGGCATAAGTCAATGTCTGTACTATACCATAATAACTGTAAATTGTCCTTAACAATACAGGATAATATTAAGTATCAATTACGTAATTGTTTGTTTCCTGATTTATATGAAAATGGGGAATTTTATTTGAATGGCTTCATTTAACGAACAGTAAAATTGATTGATAAAATCCATCGTCCCTTATTTCGGCGAGGGTTAGAATTAGGAAGCGACATCGACACTGATTCTTTCACTCACATTTAGAAAATCTCTTTAAATAAGTACTTTTTTTAATGAGATGTTTACTATTTAGCCTTTAAATATCAGGTTCTTTAAACACTTCCAGCTACCCCCAAATGGTTGTGGAAATTCTGTTAAAAATGTTCAACCTTATTTCAAAAATATTAATGTTTATAAGAATTCTAATTTCAAAATTGAGATATTTCGATGCCTGCGCTAAAAAGACACAAAATCTACAGAACATTAAGTCGTGTTTTGATTGAAAATTTTACAATTACATATTTTTAATGCGAAATATATAATCAAGAAGAAGTAAGATATAGGTATGTGCCTATAAAGATTACTCAATAATCACGTAGAAATGTCCCATCTGACTTATTTATTGACTTTGATAACAATCTGAATATCTACAACACAATCTGTTTGTAAAGAAAATGTTATTTACTATTCCTCTCAAGTGATATCATCAACCTATGTACATCCTTTTCGAATAAAAAAGCGCAATCGTAAATTGTACTTTTGGAGTTGAAGACAATTCTTTCAATAACATTGTTTCCGGCTTGTATTTGGCAACAATTATATTCCTAAGTTAGTTCTTGCCTATCTACCTACATTCTTTAAAACAATAACAAAAGACTATGTGGTAGGTAAATAAACAAATGCACACTACTTAGTTATATTCTTGAAAGAACGCCAAGAAGACTTCATAAAGAAAGTTAGACACGAATTCCTCGTTATTACATCAAAAATGTTAATCACTCAGCTGTACCGGTTCCTCAAACTTAGGCAACTTCTTGTAGGTAACTAATAAATACTAAATTAGGCATCCAGCTCGCATTACAGAACATAATCAAGTCTTAATTAAAACCATATTGAGCATGACTGCACTATCGATTAGAAATCTAATCCAACTCTCTAAGGATTTCCATATCGATAATCAAGAATTAGCGAAGTTACCGAACATTCTAGATTATTGCAAATCGATTCAAATATCGATTAAAACATTCGTTTGTCTCGGGAATTACGCCACTAAGGCGAAGACGTTGTTATGTTGATTTAATTACTACCTACCGTACGAATAAATATACATTATGCGCGCATCGTTTATATTGTGATTCAACCTTAGTTTATCAACAGAATAAACGAAAGTTTGTTCGCATACCAACCCAGCTATCTCTCACCAATTTCTAGACTGCTATCAGGGTTGTCTCTCTTAGAAAGTAGCATAACTTCCAGTTCTGCATGATCGATATTTCTCATCGGAAAAATGCTTATGCTCTACCTACTCAGTTGGATTATAAACAAGGTTTTAGCAATACAGTTTGTTATCAGCAATGCCGAAGCAAACTTTCATTCCAGTCCCGCACTTTTATGACGGTATAAATGTATTCATGTGAATGCAACGAGGTATGCAAGTAACAAACTTTTTCTTCACTCGCGTATTGTACAGCAATTGTTTCAACGTCCGTGGTACGCTCGACTACAACACTCGAACTTGTGTTGCAATCACTTCAACGAAACAATAACATGCCACTTCTCTCTCCGCTGTTTGGCAGATCTCTAATTAAATCAAATCATCGCCTCGTAGCGATAACAGATAGCAAGCAAGGTCAACTCACCGGGTCAATGTCCGCCTCCCAGACGTCCTTCAGGTCGTTCGAGATGTCGAAGTAAGCCTCCATGTCGGGGCCGGTGTTCACGACGGCCTCCGACTATAAACACAGTGAACTTCCCCAAGAAAACTCGCACAAAACACAGCAAACTGTCACTCTCTTACTGTCCTCCTCCGAGCGGGCGGAACTCGGAAACAATGTAAACTCCACTAAAACAAACTGTCAAACGACGCAAATTTCACAGAACACTGTGCATCATCACAAGTTTACGTTTCACTATCGACGCCCATTTGTTTTTGCAACAAAATATTTTTTATGAAGTTTCACTGCACGCGAGGAATGTTGTGAAAACGCTGAGCGCAGACGATGCACACACTCGCGGCGAGGTACGGCCGGCGAATGCGAGAGCGGCGTCTACCGCGCCTCCCCCCCCCCCCCCACTCCGCGCGGCCGCCCCCCTCCCTGATACGAACCTCTCATTCATAACATGATAGGGGGTAAAAACGTCACGAACTGTTAGGGGGCTGGCCACACGACAATACGACGGTAATTATGTGGGTACTTATCAGTCAATGAAGTGCAAGTCGGTCGAGAGATGAAGCCGTGGGAATTCACAGCGCAACACCGGACCAATAACAAACAATAAACGTTCATATGTTTATTAAATAAATTCGTAGCAGTACATCGCATGTGTATAAATAGCTATTTCGTTAATTATAATAATTATTGCTATATACAATTCTGTTCCATTGATATAAGGATATTATAATTTAGGTACTTATTGCAAACCCATGATGATTAAAACATTTGGTACGTATAAAATCGATAACTAAGCTAGTTTTGTATGAGGAAAAAGGCCCTCATATAACATCAGCAAAAAAGTATACACTCAAATGGAAATGGAATGCACATTTACATACTTAGAAATACTGAAATAATAATTCTTAAAACATATGCCTACATATATAAAATCTCATTGTTAACAAATCAACGTATTCATGCTTAACTCTTACATTTGATAATACAAAAATAGCAAAAAAACACTACGTACTTAAAACTACATTCAGATCATAACACCGACCACTACAAACACAAAAGCTAAAATATTTTCTTACAATCAGACTTTTGTAGATTTTCGAATGTTCTTAAATAATTTAATATTATTTTTTATCATACAAGGAAAATGGCTTTATCGATTTCGTTTAACGTACGCAGAAACAATGCAATGGTACAATCCCATGTGTCACAATATCCTGGACAAAAAAATACTAGTAAAAAGAAACCACAAGTTACACCAATAGAGTGCTAATACAAAATTACAAATCACTGTGGTATATTAAATTTACTGACTTATCTACTTATGCTAAAGAATTTTACATTTAGGCCCATCACACATAACAATAAATCTAATCCATTAGGTTATTTTTATATTGCATTTGTGGCTTTATTTACCAGCTCCCGCTAAACCCAGTATTCCATTTTCTATCAGCATTTTGATGCCCTCATTTCACTTGTGTCCATTCCTTTTCGGTGGTACAGTGAAGAGTGAAGGAACGTGTGTCGATAAAGCTGATATTCCTCCATGAAGTATACACACTCTTGGTACGCAGCACTTGACCAGGTAGTCGCTGAACTGCAAAGAAAAATTGGCTTTAAAAGGCTGCATTCTAGATATGCTATTTTAGGACCGGAATTTGTGTTAGGCTAAGATATACATGTATAAAATGTGAATTTTTGATCGTGATAATAATATCAAACATATTTTTTTCCAGCAGAATCATCTAATAAGAATCACCTATATAAATTCAACTTATTCTGATTCACCCTACAATGTTTAAATAATAACAGTCTTATTATGTTTTCGGCTAACTCCCGAAATAATTTGACGAGATACTCGACTGGTTTCAAGCCATGCTAGAGCCCATATATGAGCCCATATTCATAAGCAGCATTCCGCGGCACGCGACGAGGCGACTGTCGCGGAGTTACGTGAGTAAGCCGAAAATATAATAATTAATTTAGAATGTCTCACGAAAGTTATATAAAAAAGAGCGAAGAAAAAAGGTAATAGAAATAAATATGTTATTTATCGTAAAACATTATGACAACGGCATATGTTGCGATTTTACAGAAAGTTCAGAAATTAATATTATTGTTTTCGACAATTTAATAAAAGTATTGAATTTGACTAGTTGGAAACTACCGGATTATTAAGTACTAATATTAGTTCGATTGTTAAGATTTCTTTCTCATTCATTTGTTTGCAGAAACAACACGTTTCATATTCATGGGAAATAGGTTAACTCGATGATAATACAAAGATATCAATGTAGATAAGGAATTCATTTTATATTTATAGCGCCACTCATACCACAGTATAAATATCATACAGTATTGTAACTCGGCCGCTTGAAAGAAATAAATACCTACAGCCGCGCGGTACGTAAACATGCGTTAGGGCTGCTCGTCTCCAGTATTTTAATTACCTTTGTCTACTTTCTGTTTCCATTTAGTTTTGTGATTGTAAATATCCTTTTTTTATATAAACAAATAATGTGCTTTAAAAATAAACAAACAAAATTTCTTTGGCCACTAATGCCGAACTGAACAGCTGACTACGAATGTTCTAAAATCACAACCCTCAAACATCAAAATATTACATGAGTCTAGCTGTTTTATTGTTGTTATTAAATATTTTCTAGTATTATTCATAAACGCAGATAATAAACAAATATTATTAATAATAAAATACCACACTCTCTACTTTGAATTATACAAACTAACAAAACATACATGAACCGTTTTAACACAAGCGTAAGTACGTAGGTACCTAACGTATCATGATTCATTCAGAACCAGAACCGCCTATAACTACCTATTTCACTCGTCTCAATAACTTTATTCATATTATTTATAAATTCAAACATCTGTTTTCGTGAGATAACTGGAAATAATGATCCATAAAGACACACATTATGTACCTACCTAGGCTACTAGTAAGTAGAATTATTTTATAGTCTTACCTTTCAGAGTTTCCAGGTAATTTAAAAAAAACTTATGTCTGGATGCGTTATTGACGAATTCATGCAACCAAACATAATAACAGCACAATATTTCCTATTCGTCATATTAAATAATGTACTCGAGCTGATTTCTAAATAAAAGACAACACACCGTCCGTTCGTCACTGCGGTACAGCCGCGTCTGTCTGCGTCCCGAGCGCGTCCCGACATCGGGCGCGTAGGTATAGTTCGCGTTTCGGCCGTTTCTATGAAGTTGAAATACTTGTAGATATTATTACCTTGCTCATACGTAAGTCTTGTATATTCTATATTGTTGTTTATTTATGTGTATATCATTAAAATTCAAGTATTAACAATATGAGAACTTTTTCTTTCAATGCTCGGAAAACGCAAAGGTCTTCTTTTACTGACTCATAAAATAACACAATAATAAGCAATGGATACTGATACGCTGATGATGATGACTTCTTTCCTTTTTCCTTTTTGGTATCGGGTTGGAAAATCTTCCTGGAGACCCACCGTTCTCAGGGAAGTGCGAAGGGTACTGTCAGACTCTTACTGACTATATACCAACCCGGTGTTCCTCATTTACTCATGTATCGGAGGGGAGGGTATCACCGAAGCAATCATGGCAAACCCCCCCCCACCCCCACCCCCACTACCTCCCTCGACGGGATGGTGAACATTTTCTTTTCACTGGGTAAAAGCGAATGTTCAATTGTTTACATTTACATCTAAATACATGATATTATAACTATGAATATCATGTAAAAGCAAGCTGACTATTTGGAACAAAATCTTAACCTAATATGGGAGAGTCAGCCGAGGTAGTGGGGCAAGCGTAATAAGGTACAACGGCCTCGGCTGGAGCTGGAGAGGTAACGGGGAGGTTTTTAGTTAGTTAGTAAGAGTCGAACACTCCCTCTCGCCTCACTCTGGTCCAGATAAATAATTTGATCATTTTCCGCCCGCATAAAAACATAATTTAGGTAGTAGCTTTAGGAAGGGCGCAATATAAAAAAAGTATTATTGTCGCGAAAAAAATAATTATTTAAAATTATATTTTTAGGGATACGCGCAACTTTAACTGTACTGTGTTACCACATAAAGGTATATCAGATACCATGCTACATTTTACAGAAAAGTACTAACTTCACAAACTTAAAACTAACTAACAAACTTAAAGATAACTTAAAATTTAATTTGTACAATAACTAAATAAAGTTCACCGTTGAACTTGAAAGTAGGCGTCCATTTGCAACGGCCCCAAAAACTTGAGACGCGCTACTCAAATGAGGTTATTGACCATTTGACAGCAAATTACTCACACTAACAACTTGTGTCCGTGATATCATCAATATTATCATACTTTAAATATATTTCTACAATCCGCTTGTCGGTCTAGTAGCCAACGAGGTTCTTGGTTTAATTGAGTGCTTTGATTTAGTTAAACATAAATTATTTTAACTTTTTTAATTAATTTCTTATTTAAAAGACTCACACTTTAATTCATAAATTTTACAACGCGCTTAATATTCGTATTTTTGTAGTGAATATGCTATTTTCCGACGCTTTTTTGTACCTACTAATCTATACTAATATTATAAAGAGATAAAATTTGTAATTTTGTATGTAGGGGGTAATCTTTGGAACTGCTGTTCGGATTGCCAAAATTCTTTCACTGATAGATAGCTACAATGTTCCTGAGTGCGATAGGCTATATTAATCACGCTACGATTAAAAGGAGCCGAGCAGCGGGTGAAACCGCGCGAGAGTAGCTAGTATATTATAAATGTGAGTTTATGAGAGTGTATGAAGGTATGTTTGTTATTCTTTGACACGAAAACGACTGGACCAATTTAGTTTAAATTTAGTTTGTAGATATGTGTGATACCATGCCTGGTGGATTAAAACAGGCTGATTTTTACTATAACACGCGAGTAAGCCGCAGGCGGAAGCTAGCGATATCATAAATAGCATGGCGACAGAAACATGGTTACAAACCCGCTCATATTCCCTGTAAGAGCTCTTTTGAACGTCGGGAATTAGATGGGTAAGAGTAGTTAGAGTCTAAAATTTTTTAAACAAAAAGCTACTTTTATCTAGGAAATCAGTCAATTAAGAAAACAAGGTGAAAGTTCAGACGTTTAGTTATTGTTTATTATTATTACACATTCAGTACACTTTTAAAGTAAGCGAGCCAGACATAACGGCGACGTGTTGCAGTTAATACATATTGCCTCGTAACCTCGACATCGGCTAGTGTGAGTCAGGGTCTTGTCTGGCCAAAATATTGTTGGGCTTTTGTTTTCGAAATAGAAAATTAATACTGGTTTATTTAAAGGAGCCAGTGTAAGTTATGAAGGCTGATAATGACCACTGGAATAGGTTATTTAGTGAGTCTAGTTTAGTCTTTCGCTCTAAAAACTAGACGCCTTTTTTACCACTAAAATAAGGAGTGAAATGAAAAGATTATGGAAATTAACAGTACTCACCCTTAATACAATAGTAGATAATCATTACAAATCAAAAGAAGTGCAACTCTTTACAACCATTTTTTAATTCAACAAAAATAAATTGTTTTCAGTCCATTAGAACAGTTAAGTTTCTGTAACATTATCTTCAAAAGCTGGAACAACTAACGCCATCTATTTGTTTTGTGATAACACTATCAGCCTTACAATAACTGCTAGAATACGGTAGTTTCCAACTAGTCAAATTTCAATACTTTTTATCGAAATGTCAAAAACGATACTTTTCTATGAAATTTGTATGAAAAACTGAGGTATGACGTCATAGTATTTTTGCGTCAAATAGCTTACTTATTTCTTAATCATTAGCTACAAAATATCTAAAACTTAGTGTATCGATCGATCGATGAATAAAAGTATAGTTTATTTTTAAATATTGTATTGTATTGAAACGTCGATTTAATTTATTTTTCACCTAGGAAACTACCCAATTATTAACAGGTGTCATGAGCTCTTCTGGCAAAAAATACAGGGTACTATCAGTTTTTATTTCAGATTTCCACTTACCAGTTGCGCAGTTTCATCTTCAGCCGATGCAACAACAACCACCTTCTTCTGTTTAATGGCTTCCTGGATAACTCTCTGAGGATGGAGTCCTAGGGCCCTTAGCTCATGCTGGCCCAAATGGACCCCACTGTAAGGCACGTTTATACTGCCATCTATGCAGCTTTTCTCGTAACTGGGAGGACAGAAATTAAGAAATAAAAGTTAGACAAACGTGTTCTTATTTCAATCTTATTGCAATTGTTCAAAGTTGTTAGTCTTTGCTGCTTTTTGTATTTCAATTTCTTTTTGTATTCCAATTTCAATTATGACATCTGGATTTAATGTTACGATCGAAAATAATTACGATCTTTTGACTTTACAAACAATATGTCACGGTGTTTCTCATTTACGTAATGATTCATGAAAAAGATACACAGCAAATGATATGACACTTAATACAAAACACAATAAAGTTAGTACTCACAGTAAATTAGACCTAATGTCGATGACACAGCACTTATCTTGGCATATCAACGAGAAGAAATCCGATAAGTTGATCCTAGGACTTATTTCAGTGAATAACAATTCCATGGGGATTTCCACTATGTCCTGAAAACCACTCTTATATTAGAGACGTTAAAGACTACAATAAAAAAAATCTCATCAATATCTTTAGTATGTACTTTTTTCTGGATATATTTTTGGTTAATGTCTAGGTACATACTTTAACTTTTAAAGGTTAAACTTATATCACCAACCTTAAATCCAAAATACAATCGAAAAGATTATCAATAAGAAAACAATGTAACATTCTCTCTAAATAAACCAAACTTTTTACAAATACACAAAAACTATCCAGAAAGTACATTTATATTTTCGACATTACTTCCATACAAAACAACCCGCCCGCCTGACCCTGGACGGGAGAAGTCATTTGACGATATTCCCCTAACAAAAAAAAAAAAACTTTTCCACTTACCATGGGATCTTTGACTTCGGCTTCATTAGTGAACCTCCTATAGCTGACACTCCTTGGAGAACTTCGACACATCTCTATAGATTCCTGTGGAAATAAGCATTTGTTAATCAAGTTACACTTATCTTGACACTTTTATTTTTATTTGCTAGTTATTTTGTACAAAGCAACGTTGCCTCACATTGAAATTTTGTCGTGTGTCGTTGTCTTGGTGTCTAATTTCACATTCACATCACACCCAGACTAGGAACAACAATTTGTGGGTCACACCAAAAGTTGTTCCGTGCGGGAACCGAACCCGCGACACGTTGCACCGAAGCCACCACGGCTGACGCGGTGGCTGTGCAACCGACTTCGGTAACTCTAAATTTAAATCATATAAAGTAGATTTCCACCATTGTCATCTAGTGGACACCTCAGGATGGACGCCGCAGGTAGGGTAGGCCCCGGAAAAGATGGCGTGACGATTTTGACACCTATCGTCGGGACTGGTGAACACGGTCGAAAGATCGGGAGGAGTGGAAGCGAGATGGGGGAGGCCTTTGCCATTGGGACATTATAGGCTAGTAAAAAAAGTAGATTGCTCTCTAGTTCAGCCGGAATTGTTGTTGTAAGCGCAATAATTTTCCGCAATCTCGGCCCGGAGCAGGAGAAGAAACGGGTCAGTTTTTAGTCATATCCTCTCGCCCCACCCAAGGCCTTAAGAGTAGAAGACATTAAGGATTTTCACTCACAAAATAACAATGTTGATCTCTAGTTATCTAAGGGGAGAAACTTAATACAAACTAGGCGCCCAAGTACCTACAACTTTCAAAGTTTCTTTACACACCACGGTTGGCGCAGTGGCCGGGCAACCGACTGTTGCGGCATCGATTCCCGCACGGAACAACTTGCGCGTGTTTAAGTTCCGGGTCTGAGCGTGATGTGTAAGTAAAATCATATGTTTAAAAATGGACTCACGAATACAGGACAAAAACCTAGAGTATAAGGGCCATTTTTCCTTATAAGTCTAAAATTTGGACGTAAAGATAAACGTAATTAAATTGATCATTTAGAAATCGCAAATGCAATAATTTGTGATCGATGTTCGTTCCTTTTCCGTATAAAAAGAGGCCTTTGCCCAGCACAAGAGCAGTTTACAGGTTGACTTGATTGATTGAATGAAAAGTTCATCGACCTCACTAGTCTATAGTTAAGGTTAGCAAGAAACCTCTTCCGACATAGGGAGGTCATTCACCTTATTTGCTTTATATGGTACATGATTATATGAATTGAATTAGGTATAAGTTTAACGTAGTGTTAATTTGTAATATTTCACGTACTTACAATATTTTACTAATGTTATTAATGCTTGTGTGTTTGTTAGCTTTCATTCACATCTGAATGGAATTTTATAGTGTTTTTTTGGAGATAATTAGGCTTAGGCTACATTTTTCATTTAATCCTGCGAGTGAAGCCGTAGGCAACAACCAGTATTGTTATAAGCGGTTTATAAATTGTAAATACATGTAAATGTAAATTAATAATTAATTAATATAATTGTTGTATTAGAAAAAGCTTCGAAACTAGGAAGATAATAATCTTTACCTATAAAATTGCCGTTTTGCCGTTTTAAAACGGCAATTTTAGAAGTTAAGATCTTAATATAAATTGAATAATTATAATAATTGCTCATTAATTTCTACAGCAAATTAAACCAATACGGTTTTATCTTTTTCAATGTCAAGGAACCGATAAGTTTTGGAGCAAATATATCCGTAAGGTAGCTGGCATTGGTTGGATGGGTAGACCTGATAATCAAGCTGTTGTGAGCAACTGGACAGGTATATACAAGGCGGGAATATGACCATAAAGGGCTGATGATGATGAAGATGAACGTCTTGTTTCATCAAGCTTATTTCAAAGTAGTCAAAATCATTTATTCGAACTAAACCATAAACAAGTACTTTTGAAACATCAAAATTCTTTACAATCAAGCCATGTTTATTTGGCTATTTATTGATGTCTGCTACAGACTAAAAGTTTTTTAATATCAATAAACCGCACTTACTAATAGGGAACAAATGAGCAGAAGCTTTTCATAATAAAAAGCTATCAAATAAGATGAGACTTTTACAAAAAGAAATGCACATATGCCAAATCTTAAGAAGAATTGAAGCTTAATATTATATGACTTGTATTGTAACGTAGGTAGTCGGGTCAATGTGGATTGGCGAATTTTAAAACTCATCCTTGATATCATTGATACCTCCATAATAGTAGTTGCTGGTGTATCAGAATAATGACTGCACTTGGCACTGCGATTGGCGCGGTGGCTGGGCAACTGGCTGCCGTTCAACGTGTCGCGGGTTCGATTCCCGCACGGAACAACTCTTTGTGTGATCCACAAATTGTTGTTCCGGGTCTGGGTGCCATGTGTATGTGGAATTGTATGTTTTTAACGCACCCACGACACAGGAGAAAAACCTTGTGTGGGGCAACGTTTTTTTTTTTTTAAATGCTTGGCGGTGGGCGGTCTTCGTTTAAACAGTGATTTTTTTGTATAAAAATCAAATTCGAAGAGGAAACAGCTTGAAACGCCCCATACAATAACAAGGGCAATCTAAACCGATGAATATATAAATAAAAAAATCATTTATAAATGACGAAACACCACTTATAAACATTCCGAACGGTGCCAAGGTATCGGAATCATCTGTGCAGTGTGCAGTAATGGGCGCGGAATTACTGTTGATAAGCTATTGTTAGACGCCCCTGACACACTCGCTATTTGCCGCCAATGTCAGTGTCAAAGTGACTTGAGTGTTCAGTAAGGATGTGAAGACTTGTTTGTAGGTATGCATATTATACAAAGATATTTTTACGTTATTTATCTACAAGCAGCTTTTGTCAGCGTTTCATCCGCGTCATCCGGATGAAAAGCCTATGTGTTAGGCCAGGCTATAATCTATCTTTGTGCCAATTTTCATTAATTTCCATTCAGTAGTTTTTATGTCAAAGTGTTACAAACATCGATACATACTAAAAAATTTGGCGGTAAAAATTTAGAAGGGTATATCTGCACTAGCCTTCAAAATTTTACCAAAACAACATTAAAAATTCGAAAAGGGGATTTTAAATTTAACTATAAGTAGTTAAGTTATAAATCACCCATATTAAGTAATTACTTTCAAATTCCAAAATAATTTTCTTTTTATTTACTTTATTTTTATTTACATCTTAGTTAAATAACTAGCTAGCTAGACTCCCTGCAATAGCTAAATAAGTAATTTCAAAATAATAAAAAGTTATATTATTGAATAAAACCTCAAAGACGCTTTAACAAACATAAGAAACTCACAAGCGTTTATAGACAAAAAATAAATAAAAAAACTCACTAATTGTATAAAAGTTCAAGAGTTCTTGGCAACACTTACCTTGACGCACTCTCCAATGTCAATCTCTGGCAAATCAGAGAACAATAGGATGCACTCGTTAAAGCCAGACGATAGTAGTGTGTCTCTGAGCTGTCTCAGTATCCCCACTCCCATAAATAAAGGCAAAGCTGGACCTTCCACTAGCAACGCGTCCCATAAGTGTACTATTTTATGGAGGGGAAATACGTCTGGAAGGGAATTTTTATGTTAGATTCTTAAAATATATTAAGTGATATTTTTCTTTAGTTAAACATAATATTAAAATAGGTTGGAGGAAGGATTTTTCGCATTTTTCATTCACTCATCTTGACAGTACGAAAAACAAATGAATATCAAACATTTTCCTAATTTGAATTTGGAACATGGAATTCAGTTTTTTTATTTATTTAAACTTTCAATGATACCGAAGCCAGCCAGGTACTTAATAGTGTAGCCAAAGAGATTTTATTACAACTTTTTCCTCAACCTTATATTTTGAGTCAGGTAATTTGCCATGTAGGTGGTTTTTTAACCGTCAATGCATTTATTGCAATTACCTACATATTATAATGTTTCGTCAGTCTATTTGTCATATATTTTTTCATCCATAGTTAGAACTCAATAGTATCCCCGATTGCGGAATCGAATACTAGTATATGGCAACTCGAGAAACGGATTTGGAATAAATTTTGACTTAACAGAAACAAAAATCATCGAATACATATGTATGTACATGGTATGGGTAAAAAGGTTGAAAGTATGAAGGAACTCACGTGAAAACATGGTAAGAAACCACGGTATAGCGAACAGCTCCGGTACAAAGTTGATCTCGTGCAGATGTGTGGCCAGTTCCGGCTCGTGGAAGGCAGTCATCTGCCAGAACTTAGCCAAATACTCCTTGATGACAGCGCTATTGTCCTTTAGGAAGAACTTGTGTAGGAACTTCGGTACGAATGCTGAGAGACAGGCGAAGGCACGGGCTGTTGGTTGAGAAGTTAATAATGTAGATCGAAATAATCGAAACAAACTTGGTACCACTCATGCTGCTCATGAATATGAGCCCCGAGCGTGGCTTGAAACTGATAGAGTTAAACAGTTCCATGAACAAGGCATCAAACACACAAAAACATCTGAACAGTAATTAGATAAAACGCGCTGTTATTTTTGAAGTCGGTTAAGAACTTAATAATTCTTTGCTCGACCCAGGTACATTAGCGGCTTGAGCATACTCGATTTATATGTCGACGCGCAAATCTACGTTACGCAAGGGTTGTATGTTTTTATAGATATAACGGCAAACGACTTGGCGGACTATCTGATTGAAAGTCAATCACCACCGCTCATGGATACCCGCAACACCAGAGGAGTTACAAGTGCGTTGGCCTTTAAGACTGGAAAAAGGATTAAGCCTCCGGTAACGTCACTCACACGGAGAGACTCAACATAAGCGTCGTATCACGCCGGTTTATGAGGTCATTCCATACATTACATCGCCGTTTACAATACCGTCAACGTACCTTGGCGAGTCTGAAGTTAGCCGATTAGCTGCGCAATACACAATTTTGTTTAACAGCAGTCACTTGTTTCGTCTTTAAAACACATTTTGAACTTTATCACAATCGATACAAAGTACAAAATAGGTTACACTGACCTTCATTACAGAAGTTGAGATATAGGAACGGTGCAGTCAAAGAGTCCAATCCTTGCCAGTATACGTACTGAGGGTTGGTCAGTAGCCACGCTTTGAGTAACCTCTTCAATGTTTTGTGACCAGCTGATCCGCATAGCAACCAACAATATTGGTGACAACGTGGTATGTCCACATCTATCTGTTAGGGGAAACAAGATTTTATTGCTATGCTTATAACGTTCAGTTTTGAAATTGATCATGAGTATGTTCTAAATTAAAGGTACTAGCCTAGGTTTCTAGGTCCGTTCGCGTGGAATAGTGACTTACTGCAGATTTTTGATATAAAAACTAAAATCTTCGTCGTTATTAAGGCAACAGAAATTTATCTTGAAATTATCTATCCAAATTTCAAATGTCTAGTTTAAGATATTTAAGACGTTTTGAGAGATACAAACAGACAGTATGGACGGACAGCGGAGTCGTAGTAGAGACAGGGTTACCCATAGGGTAAAAATGAAAACCCTACCCTATACTATAACTTTAAGTCGAAAGTTTCCACAGTGATTTAGTGCCAACTTACTTGTCTATCCGTAGGAGTAGGTGTTTCCTTGTCAATTCTTTCGTACTGATCCTCAATGTCCCCCACTACGCCAAGTAAGGCGGCCCATACATCGCCGCGTACTAGTGGTGGTATGTCGATCTCTGCTTCGGCTCGTATATAAGGCGCTGTGTATGGGTAGCCCTGTGAAAAACATAAAATAAGTTAAACACATATTAAAATCAGGTACAATTTTAATGTTGGTGTTTTTATCAATATAAAACAATGACTACCTACACACTTGAATTAATTGAGAAAATCTCATCTAGTTTCAAGTGAAAACGGGACTCTTATTCATGAGCAACGGCGACGGCATTAATTTCAATAAATAGAATATGCCTCACGATAGCCACTATACAACAGATGCCCCATTTTAGAATTAATATAAAAATAAAACCTTCTTTCTATAATAACTACTAGCGCCATCTTCTTATAACAATGTGAAAGTGTAGATAGCTTCTATATTTGAAATGTTAATAGTCTGAGAAAAACTACCACACCAGTTCAGCTGCCTTTTCCTCTTCCCAGTTCTCCTTTCACCAGTTAGTAGAATCAGACGTTAGGAGCAGGCTACATTGGTATGCAGTGGGACCAATTTAATTTTTGTATTATAACTCTTGTGAGACATTAAGTTAATTAGATTCTACCAGTGGTTTTCTCTACTTATAGTATACAATGGATTGCTCGGTGGCATTATTATAGTCAGGGACTCCTAAAATCGCTACCTCAACAATCACTATTATATCATCAAAAATTATTTGAAAGTTAATAAAAAATATAATATCGATAATGAAGCAATTAAGATAAAATGAAATTGTGGACTATCCAAAACTTAACTTAGGTAACAACGTAAATGAAAAACCCATAATAAAATCGCTGGGGGGATTAAGATACATATCTAGCATAATTATAGCCGATCAGTTTTCAACCTTATTACTAGCGGCATAGGTACTGATATTAATCAGTCAACAGTTCGCATTTATGCAGTTATTTTTGTTTTATATTGATTTTATTATATATAGTGCTTAGATATATTTGTGGTATTTTCCAATAAACAATATCACAAAACACGCTGAAATTATAATAATAATAAGTAAAAAAAAAACCATTAAACTTATTAGTCTAGACGATATTAATTAAACAAAATAGTACACTAAGTAGTGTATAATAGAATTGAAAATTCTTTTTTTGTAATCTACAGATCTGATAAGTATGCAATTTAAAATACAACAGAATCTTGTTTAGTCTAGTCCACATTAGTAAGCACAGTTAGACCTAATTTGTCTCGTCATCCTGCACTATTAAATTATAGGTATTTCGTTTGCCAAAGACGAATTTAACTTTAAAACGTTCAGTACAGAGTTCACTTTTGAAGAACAGCAAAAAAAAGAATCAATTTATAGCTCGAAATACACTTCAATTCTATTGTATTAGAGTTAACTTTTCAACTGCTCATTTAAAAATACCGTTTGTAGACGACATTAATCTATTCTCTTTCAAACGAAAACCAACCTTAAATATAGAGAGAGAAAATTAAATTTCAAATGACCAACTTACATGTAAAAGCCGATGGAACCATAGAAGTCTATAAAATTGGTATTCCGTATCTCTTTCCCTGATGATCTTTGGTAAAGCGACGGCATCATACTCTTTTCTTCTTTCGTGCATCAGTGGGTAGAAGTCCTGAGGTGGTACATGACTTAGTCGGGACTTTAGAAGGTCTAAGCTGTACTTGGCTAGTCTTCTGTCGAATAACGCACCAGATTTACCACCTACCGTACAGCCGTCTAGAAGTATTGCTCTGTGAATAATGAAGAATGTTTAAGATAAGATCATAACAGAGAATAGGAAATCTAAATCATAGACAATCGGCTAGCTAAAGTATTTTTTGCAGATACATGTGTTTTTGTCCCTAACATAAGAACGCTTATTTGTTTACAAGAAAATATGAAGCATTCAATGCTTTTATACAAATATCAAAAACAACATAACAACCCCCTGCTGAACAAAGGAAAATGGAAAAGGTTTGAGCATTAATCACCAGCCTGCCGAAGGTGGATTGGCATTTTTTAATATAATTTAGAAGTCCAGGTAACCTCACGATATTATCCTTCACTATATGTCAGGTGTGACTAAATAATCATAGAAAGTATATATAACTGAGAGAAGTCTCATTGGTTCTTGCCAGGTTTCAAACTCCCACCCTCATGTATGAGAAGAGCCACCACAACACTCTCCTATTCTCTTCTCTATAAAACACAGCTTATTCTTTATTCTCAATTTAAATATATACTCACATAGGCATAGATAAAATTGGCGGGCTATTTTTGATGAGGTAATTCTTTTTTAATTCCGCTTGAATATCGCCACCAGCCAGTTGCCACAAGTGGTAAAGGTATTGCAGCTTACAGCCCATTAAACCGCGAGGAGTCTTCACTTCAACCAATTCTTTTGAATCTATCTTTGTTAAATCTTCAACTAACTCTGAAAATGTTGCCCTCTCACTGGGATATATTTTGAGACATTTTTCTATAATATTCCTCAAGTTTTCTGGAACTTGCTGTAACAATTATTGTGCTGTTTAAATTAAGTTCTACAAAATAATCGTTTAATTTTAAATTTACAGAATGTTATTTAAATGAGTGTCACAAAAAGACATTGTTTTTTTTTATTTCCCCCCTTACAATTTAAAAAAAAAGTATGTATTTTAATGCACCATAGTCAATTTATTCACATTAATATTCATGCTTGTCTTATTAGTAATTCACAGTTTATCTAAAGCATATGCATTATTTTAAGTCAATGACATACAATAACACTGTTTTTTATTTGAAGATATGACATTCGTTGACATAGACATTTAAATACAGCTATTGTTATAGTAATACAGACAAACTGAATACACTTCTGAATTTCTAGATAAAGCTTGTAGAAATAATTAAAGAGTCACAGTAATGATACAGACACAACAAGGTTTTTATGTAAATTGACCTACAATATGATGTTTGAAAAAACTGAATAAAAAAGCAAGATACATTTTGTGTAAATCTACATTCTGACAAAGATAAAATTGTAAAAGCAAATCTGAAAACAAAACATAGCATTCTTGACAATCAACTTCTGTAGATTTTGGGGTGATTTTAACTACCAGATTTCAAAGAAAGAATGGGAATTTTTTAGTCAACAAGAGTCAAAACACTCCCTTTCGCGATACTCTAGGCGAGATAAGTAATTTGATAATTGAGCCCGCTCAAAAAATGGTGATTTTAGAAAAAAATTACAAGGCACAAGCATCCAATTAAAAAAATATATGTATTCTCAAGTAATTCAAGTAAAACCCTCTTCTTACCAATTAGGTACTTATTGAGGATTATTTTATTTTTCAATTTATGAATATCATTACAACTAATAGAAATAAAATAAGAGTATTACAATTAAATTACCTACTTTGTACTGCTCAAAGCAGTCATGTTCCCTGGCTATCCTCTCTGCTGGGTTGTTAGCATGTACCAGGGTAAGTATTCTCCTCAGAATGGGGCCAGGCTTAAGATTATTCCATAGTTTACCAATAGAAAGTTCTAGAAGGATGATACCATAGCTCCAGACATCAGCTGCAGGCCCACCACCATTTAATATTGTTTCAGGACTCAGGTATCTTGGTAGGCTGGAATTATAGGATTTAAGATTATTTGAGGACAATTTTATACCTGCTTTATACCAAGGAATGTTAAAGGTGGATTTAGAACTTTCCTGTAGAACTTGGAATTGTTTGTTAGTAATAAAAGTTTTAAGTTTCAATTATAAAACAATATTTTTAGTATAATATAGATTTATATAATATGATTCTAATAATTATAAAATTAAAACTACTAAGTTGATTAATGTTATCTATGCTTTTAAAACTATATCTACAAAAGCATTAGTCATCAAAAGGAAAAGGAATTAATGATGAAATTAATTAATTGTTGTGTATCTAGTAAATAAACTATATTTCACAGGGTAATATATCTTTATAAATTACTTTTTATTATTACACCCTCATATGAGAACAGCACTCATTCCACTGTATAAAAATGTAAACATTCCGGAAGTCAATTCAGATGGCATAGAAACTGAAAATAACATTACAAAACTTACCCCAATGGGAAAGATACTTCACTGCCTCCATCAGTCATATAATACAATCCGTAATTAAACAATTTAACTCTTCCCTCATTGTCAATGAGAATATTGTCATCGGACAGAGTCCTATGTGTAATATCCTGCTCATGCAAGAACTTCATACTTATTGCTACCTGCTTAGCAATGTTTATAATCTCTTGATATGAGAACTTTGATGTGCATTCTTTTAGTGACTTTCCAATCACTTCTGCTACAACTATTATTCTTTCTGTGGAGCAGAACATTATATTAATTTATCACAAAGTCAAAACCTCTCTCTACTGGGATTTCTTCTACTTTCGACACTTTATGAAAGTTTTACAAATCATACTTTCAAAGGTTCAGACAGTCAAAGGTTATCCAGAACCAGAACTCTGGTGGTGAGTTGGTCTCCACCAAATGTGTACTTATAATTATTGCAAAATACTCTTGTTAAATAAAATAAATTGATAGAATAGAAAGGAATATTTGATGATTTTGTGTTTCATTGAGAAAGTTCGAACTTACCATGTTTACCTCTGATAACGTCAAGGTATGTACACAAATTAGGGTGTTCTATCGTCAACAGACGCTGAGCACGTCCCAATATTGTAATAGAACTGGGTGTAAGCGGCAAACCATTGCTTCCACACATTTCACCAGGATGGTTTTTCGCAAAATAAGTGCAAGCAGCGAATTTGCAATCATCTTCGTTGTCTTGATACATTATTTGACTGTTCCTTACCACTATCTTTAGGATTTTTTATCGATATTATTATATTATTCTTTATAATAAACGTATGTTTTGCTATTAGTCCACTTTTATTACAATTATCCAACTGGGGGCGTTCTCTTTGATTACAACAATTTCCATTCCCCTGTCAAAACAATGCCAATGTCAAACCAGCGATCTATCATTTTAAGGTTGTCAAATGATATAAGGTTAAAAACACACTTGTATTGTGTGGTATGTCGTGTCGCGATAGAACTCGCCGGTTTCGTCGGCTCGTCGTCAGCACGCGACACAATACAACAAGACTAATGTTATATTTTAAATTTTAAATTTAAGAAGAAAATACAAGAATTTTAAATATTATAATATTGAAGGTTTCATAGAAACCGACTGTCTTCTAGCGTGTCAGGTCACGCCAAGCAAAAGTAATGTTGAAACAATAATTCTACGGGCTTAACCAACGCCGCTTACAATGTCATAAACTAACCATCCCAAAATATAACGATTAATTTTCTTAAATTCCACGGTGTCTTTCTTTCTTTTTTGACAAGAGAGACTTTTCTTTAAACCTAAGTCACGGATAATCTGACACACCGTATCCTTTTCATAATGGATGGAGTACAGTGATACTCCAAACGTCTCACTCCCTCTCCATACGACATAGCTGGAGCTTCCTATTTCCCGAGAGCATCTCGTGTTTTCTCCGGGTGTGCCATAGGTAATTAATTGTCCGGAATATTTTGAAGGTACTTTTATTTTTGAGGGAGACTTCATCAAAAATTATTTGATTCACCCAGGATGAGATAAGAGGGAGTGTCAGTATCTTACAGAGATGATTACAAAATAGGATATCTTACTTAAAAAAATTGCTTCGTTCATTTATTATTTCAGGCTCATGCTGCAGTAGTTACAGCTTGGCAAGGAAGTCACCACGTCACCAGACGTGACGCGGACGACATTTGGGACAAAAAAATCTTTGTACCTTATTGCACTTACCACGCAACCCTGAATAATTTGATGGTTTTAAATCCAACAATTGACTGCACGGCTAGTGAGAAGGCTGGGCAACTGGCTATCAACTTGTAGTGGGTTCGATCCCTGTACGGAATAACTCTTTGTGTGTTCCACATACCTAATGTTATTCCGGGTCTGCATATGATTTGTTATAAAAAAATGCCATTAAAGTGTCTCCCACGATTTCACCGCCAAGACCTGTCGAAGTTCCGATGGTCTTAATGACTTTAAATCCATAAAGTGACGGAAGTACGAACGTCCCCAACGGGATCTAACTACTGGTTCATGTGCCATTTCATAGAATATTCTACAACACCCCATATGAACCTTAGGGCCATCACTCTGTGTGAATTTTGTAAAACTGCAATAGGTACTGCTAGCCGTCAGTTATTATCTGCACGATCCCTCTTTAGAGTTGCCTACACTAGGCTTAAGATGCCTCCTAAAAAAAGGATAGAAAGTGTAACCCAAAAAATTTTGCTAAATGTTATCGAAAAGTATGAAAGTATGATATTAAATAGCACGACATAAAGTCCTTTTAACAATAAGAACTATTTGACTTTTTTTTTAAATGAACGTTTGTTCCGTCACGACACGGCACGGCACGCCACACAAGTGTATCTCTAACCTTATACAATTTATTGTAGCCTAAAATACTAGGTATCCAATCTAAATAGTGGTAATAAAAAAGCTTTTCATTGAATTTATTCATTCATAGACAGATAATATAGACTGCTGTGGACTGCTGCTTTCTGCAGGAAACGAACAAAAAGGCTGAAAAATATTATAGTTTTACAGAAGAAAGCGTGCCATAATGATATATTAATTACGGTGAGTTTCCTACATAATAATCTTCTGTTATTTTGGGACTCATCGACTCGTAGTGATCAGTACAACTTTCTTTTCTACAGCGGAAGACTTTCAAATTGAAATGGCTTGTGTTGAGAATATTCCACCGCCTAACGCGGATTCTGAGATGGAAGAAGGAGAGATCGTGGATGATTTATCAGATATATCGTCTGAAGAAGAATACCTGTTGCGTCAGAGACTCCAAGTGCTTGAAACTTACAACAACGTCCTTGAACGTAAGAAGGCAAAACGCTTGTCTATAGGGCCAGGTAAGGAACAGACAGCCAATGTCGCAGTAACATCTCCTACCATGCGTCTCAACTGGTTGACTAATTATTCAATAATGACCTTGAGTTGTAATTAACCTTTGACCTAGTTAAAGTTTATCATCATATTGTTATGCAGTTTATGTCAGTACAAATGCAATGTTGTAGTGTTTATATATGATTATTAATGCTTAATCTAATGAGCTTTTAATGTCTCTATCGTACATAGTTGAGGTGAGGTCTTGAATTTTATCTTAATTTACACCTTCCTGTGAGAAAACTGAGTAAGGGAGCATACCTAAGGCTGGCGAAAACTGTTTTCATTTATTAATTTCTGATTAGTATTTTAAATTCATTATTGCATCTTTTCTAAGTATCTATCATACTGTAGTGTAAAGTAATCTCAGACGGGGCTATATGTTCAGCTCGGGTTGCGGGGTAAGTGCAATAAGGCACCGCGACCTCTGCCCAGAGCAGGAGAAGGAACAGGGATTTTAAGTCAGTAAGAGTCTGACACTCTCTCCTGCTCGGCCCTGGGCGGGGGAAGTCATTTGATGATTTTCCCCTCACAAAAAAAAATGTGTAGTAATCTAAATGTTTTCATAAACACAAGAGGTTAAGATCATCTAAAAACACTAAAATACTTCTTGCTATAGTCAGCCAGCTTAACTTATCCTTGGATCGCAATATCAGGTTTTATCCGTAAAATATCTATATAATCTACAAAACATATTATGTATATACATAGCTCAATAGTTATTGTTAATATTAAGATAATGATAAAAGTTCACTCTATCCCATGCTCATTATTTGCATAATGCTTTTGCAAATGAAACATATTTTCTTGTTTATATAGCAAAACCTATGTGTTTGGTACCACTATACAGTAAAGATAGTATTGATGTGAGCTTTACTCCAAGTATCGGAGTAAAAATGGATATTTACTGAGAATTTATCAATTTTGAGTATTTATTTAAATAAAAATCTCATCACTACATGCCCCTGATGTTTAATGCAGTAGCAGACAAAACATAAAAATTGTGAAGACAGTACACACTACACAAACATCTTATAAATATTAGTGTTAAACTACCAAAAACTACTGTAAAAAATATTTTGCAGTGTTAAAAAACAGCACAATTAAAAAAGAGGTTTAAAATCTTAATACAGTATATGTTTTTGTCCTGGTTATTTCCCGTTTAGTTGTGTTAAGTTAAAATGCAAAGGAAAAATCTGTTTAGTTTTGCAATAATAACAAAATTAAAAGCAACAAAAATGTACCTCAAATTACCCATTTATTTTTTATACTAATTATTAACATAAATAAAATAAGATATAAAAATATAATAAGATAATCAATGATTAATTTAGCAAATATAATTTAACTGATGCAAAGTTTATGTACCAGTACTTCAAAAAAATCATTCATGACACACAAAAGGGAAAAAATATGGTAAGATAGTAAAATTTGTTGTAGTTTAAGGAATTTCGATTTTCTATAGGCATGTAGTGTGCACTCTATAACATTTTAGGTACAAAACATAAAAGGGATGATGCATTACTGTATGATTTATCGGAAATATCAGCAACAGAACTAGATGATTATTACTCCAATGCACAAAGAAAACCAGTTAAAGTACAAAAACGACCGAAAACACATCATAGACAGAAAAGAAAGAAATTGGAACCAATTTTGCTTCCTGTAAAACCCAAGGAAGTGACAAGAGAATATAAGAAAAAGAACCATCATGCCAAGAAGAAGTTACCACCTAAAATTGTAAGCGAATCTAGTGAAGAATCTGATGATGAATATAGAGCAAGTCGAAGAAAATTAGCTGATGCTGTTGTAGTCAACAAAGATGCAAATAAAACTTCTTTAAGTGAGAGACTTCAACAAATGCTCTGTGGAGTCAACCCTGAACCAAAAGCAATTGTTACTGAAACCAAAAATAGTGATATTGGTAATATACTGATAGAACATGCTGAATTATCACCTGTATCTGCAATGAATATTGATGATAATAATGCATTGAATTCCGAAGATACAAAGGACACAGAAACTAAAACAGACAAATCTGTGATAGACTTATGCTCTGATGAAGATAGCAAGTCAATTCCAATTGATACTGTAGATTCAGTTATTAAAGAAAGTGAAGTAAAGTCGAGAAAAGATTCTACTTCAGGCAAAGAATCTGAAGAAGATTTAGAATTGCTAAGACAGCATGCTCTCAGAACTAAAATTACTAAAACAAATACAGTTCTTAATGATGTTCAAGTTGAAAACAAACTACTTTCTGATGATGAAGATAGTGATACGGCAGAGTTAAGATTGATCTGTCTTAAATCTGCTTTACTAAAGAAGGCTATTGAAAGAAAGCAGAAACAAAAGTTAAAGAAAAGACTTTCACAGTCATCCCACCTACCAGATAATCGTTTAAACGATAATAACACTGATATAGAATCGGTTGATATGGATATTGGTTCAGATTCAGAAGAAAAGACTAAAGAAAACCCAGACGGTTGTGCCAAAGTCAATAATATAGAGGAACAAAACAAATCAAATTTAAATCCTGCAATATTTGCAAACATTCCTTTACCTAGTCCAATCCCAGTAGTGGATGAACTAGAAGATGATGAAGATTTATTACGAGCTAAGTTACTTACTTCTTTAAGTAAAAATTTACCGAATTTGGTAAGCCCCAATGAGATTGAACCCATACAAAGTATCAAAGACTCTAGACCAATTACAAAAAAACCGCCTCAAATAAAACCTGTTGTACCTGCTGTTGTACCCAAAGAAAAGAGGTTTATTATAACTGTTGGCGCATCGGATTCCGAAGGGGAAGATGAAGCTACTAAGAATTTAACAAAGATGCATATGAAATTGGCTGAGCAAGCCGATTTCCAGCAAAGATTAGATATGTTCTTGAAGAGTACAAGAATGGAAGTGGAGAAAACCACACATCTTCCTGATGTTATTCAAAAGCCTGTTCTACCGAAGAAAAATGAAAAGTTCGTTGCTAAGGTCGGCACATAATTCCCTATCATAATTTTGTTAAGTCTGTTCTTTATTTTCAGCTATTTCAAGTTTCATATTTCTTTTAGGCTGTAACTCACTTGCCAAAATCGGAGCAAATCGAGTATAGGAACCTTGTAAAAAGGATGGCAGAGTTAGAAAAGATAAAACAAGCTAGGCAAACTCCTGTTAACTTAAGTCACAAAGTTCCTGTATCAGTAAAGGATACTTTAAAACCAAGGAATGTAGCTACAGAATCCTCAAAACTATCTTCCGTAAATGATTTAGAAGAAAAAATTAAAGCATCGAGGTATTTACGAACACTATTTTTTTGTAGCACACATTTTTGTTTTTATTTCCGATTCTAAAGTGCTATTTAATTTTTTTCCAGAAAACACATAGCTGAAGAGTCAGCTAAGATTTTAAAGTTGAAGGAAGAGGGCTTGAAATTATCCCAGAAATACAAAATTGTCGCCACAGAACTTCGCAATATTAAAACTGCTATTGCACTCAACAAAAAGCAGACTAGATCTGTTCAAAGTTGTTTAACCAAGATAAGGTTGCACCATCAAATGTTATTGAAAAGGTATTTTTACTTTTTTGGTGTTTTACAAAAATCAACATTGGGGCCTATTTCAAATGCTTTTCATTTCTTTTTAATATGTTAGTTAAATCATATTATTGGATTCTATTTTCAAATAATTCATTGCCTTTCAAAACTGGTTGTTCTTCTTTTATAACACCTTTTTTTCAGCTCAACAACTTCAGCACATTCCAAAATCAATGGCAACTTGCCATTTCATAACGTAGCTACGAAGTTACAAAAAGAAAATAATCCTTCAAGCGAAGAGAACAAAACGTACATAATAAATAATAAAATCGTTAAAGTAATAGACAATAACTTATCTAAAGAAGAACCTAAACATGTATCAGTACAAAAACCTGTAAAAGAAAACAGTTTACGGAAAGATGAACCAAAGATAAGCAAAGATGTTTCAAACGAGAAAGTCGTGGATAAGAGAGAGCAAAATCAAGAATGTGCAGTCCATAAAACAGCAAAAGAAAACAATACGCCCGTTGAGCCTAAACATCCTTTACCAAACAACACTGCAAGAGTTGTAAAACCTCCACCGTTAGTTATTGTACATCCAAAATTATCCGTACGACTTGACGTCACTAGCAATAAAAAAATTGTAAAAGTTGGAGACGATACCAATGATAGTAATACGGAATATAAAGATAGGAATGAGAATTTACTGGAAAATAGACTAGTCCCCCATATAGTTGTGGAAGTTGAAGGGAATAGCGAGAAGTCGGCGCTGGATCGCCGAAGACTGGAGACCTATGACTACAGATCACCTCTAGACGCTTTTGGAATTACCACGTGAGTTATACCATTCTAAGACCATCATTATTTTGCATGGTTTGAAACTATTTTCCTCTATTTTTATTGCTATTCTAACTTTCGTGTGACCTTGATAAAAATCAGATTTCTCAGTGTAAAGGAAAGATTCGAGAGATAATCTTTATTAATGAATATCTCTCGAATCTTATGTTTTTCTCTGCATCATAAGGGGCAAAATATTAATCAGTATTTAAGTACCTCTTATTTAGCTAGTACTGTTCATTTATCGATAAATTATAACTTCTTCAGGGATAATAATTTGATTATTACTAAGTTTAATTTGTTTTGTTTTCATTTTTTCTCACATTATGTAGGTATTTGTATTAAACTACTCCGAAATAAGAATGTTTTATTAAAACTTTTGTTGTGTTTAGCAATAGATTCGTAATTTCAAACAATGATGTATTATCAAAGATTTTTAAACAAACTTGCGTTTTATACCTAGGAAATGCTGTTTCTAAAACAGAGTATGCCGTTCCTATTCGAATACTGTTAGGACGTATCTTTTATTGATTTGTTTTCGTGAGAACATCAAAATAACAAATCTAAACTTATATATGTCACCGGAAAATAACAAGATCTGTAAGTTTATCATTTTACTAGGAAGTTTATAAACTTTCGTAAGATTCTAAACGGAAGATAAATTGTAATATTTTACGTCCACATTTTCGTAAATTGATAAACTTACTGAACTCACTCGTAAAATAATAAGTAAGCAGTAATCAAACGCTACGCGCGATCTGATTGGTTGGCTGTCACGTGTCACTTCTCCTTCCTCGCGGCCGCCATTGCTGACCACGGAACATAAACAAACCGGTTTGCTATTGAAACTGATAATAGAAAACTCAACTCACTACATCCGTGCCAGAGAGAAACCAGGCATTGTTGCTTCCAATTTATAGTTTGTCAAGTCTGATTATTCCAAAGTCTATGGACACAAGCATTGCCACTATGAACATTGACCAATCAGAGAGCTGTGTGTTATTTTACGTATTTTAAAGATCGTATCTTTAAAATAGTTTCTGTGATTGGTCGAACCATGTAAAATCTTACGATTAGATATTCGTTAGTTTATAAATTTACCGTATGTCGTCGGAAATTGATAAATTTACGAAAATGTGGACGTAAAATATTACAATTTATCTCCCGTTTAGAATCTTACGAAAGTTTATAAACTTCCTAGTAAAATGATAAACTTACGGATCTTGTTATTTTCCGGTGACATATATAATACCTATAGCAGTTAATTGTTAATAACGTTGCAACTTTCAGTTGGCAGGGCGACCCGAACAAGATCCTCTGTCCCTTCGAGGTGGGCGGCGACTGCAAGGACGCTGACTGCAAATACCAACACACCCCTTCCCGGTCCACCTGACATTACACCCACACCCACACACGCACACGCTCTCATCCTACACGTACTTACCCTTCTGGATATCCATTCCCTTCCCAAATGTCCGAACGAAGGCAAAGGAATCTTCAGCGATGTGTAAAGTATACATCTCTTATAGCTAACCTTTTCATTACTAGCTTTGTTTTGTTGAGTTTCTAGTCATTCTTAAAATCACAAATAATGCTCGATTTATATACTTAATAATATTTATTTCCAAAGCCATGCATGCCGTAAGTCTAGTCATATTTTCAATTTGTATTTCTATTGTGTTATCGTATCAGCAAGTATTTGCGTTTCTATCAGTTTTATCATTATTACTGAGTTGCGTAATGCTTAAGTGTAAAGCGCACAGCCTTACAATGTAGCTACATCTACCTCATGTTTTATGCTAATCTACACTCACAGAAAATCTATAAACCCATCCTTAGATCTAACTTTATTTTTCTCCTTGACTACAAGGAGTTGATTCTTAAATTGCTTTTCAAAGACTGATATAATTTTTTGATCTCCATTCTTTTTGTATCTTTTTTAGTCACTACTTTTTAGTAGGTATTCCTTATTCTGTTTATTTAAATGTTAACTGTGAGGAGTTATTAATTTGGTCCTGTCTCCGCATGTCTGTCCCGCTGTACTGAGGTGATGGCGCTGTTAGAATACATTTTGTTCAACCGACACCACATTTAACATGGTTTAATGCAATTTTAGTTGGCGGCTGACCGTGTTCCTGCTTCTCGCCGACAAAGGTGGTAAGTTTCGAGTAACTTTATAATAGTGCATTTGTAGTGCTCTGGACTCATTTTACGACACACTAACGGGACTCCGAAGCTCTGGTAAAGTGTTTTGTGTTACGTAAAATATATCAACTTTATTATAATATTATTTTTTAATAAATATTATTGATTTTAAAACATTGTACACATGTAAAAAGTTATAAAATAAACAATACTTGAAAATATTGTATATTCGATTTTTATTTCTACAAGTAAAACCACATTTAATCTTACAAATAGACATTTTATTCAGACATTGTAAAGAAAATAAAAAGTAATATACCTCTTCACACTGATACATACAGTTAGATAAAATATGTACGTATATTTTTGGAATAAAAATTCGATATAATTCATAAAACCCTTGAACAGACAGAAGTCACTCTACGTGAATGACTACTAATAAGTATTTATTTATATATCTAGTTATGTGACAGAATAACTGTGGGCACTCGTGTAAGACAGTACAGGAGATAGAAATAGTCGTATTCATATAAACCATCTTGGACAATATTAAAATTTATTTTCAAAAATTAACATTTTCCATATAAAATTTCTATAAATTCATAAGATTTCATATTTGTTTGGTGTTTCAAAAGCTCAATATATTTATTACCTCGAATATAATAAGGTCTGTTATATTTTTGTAAAGTTTAACAAGATAAATAATTTGTCGTTATAAGAATGAGGTGGAGGTTGGAGCCCACAGTTGAGACTGGACAGTTAGGAAGGCAGGGAGTGTAATACAAGTATAAGTCTTGATAAAGGGATTATTACACGTCATCACCATCTCTTTGAGACAGACTTAACCTTCGCTCACATGACTTCTCGCCAGTTTATCAAAGAGCGATAAAGCTAACAGAAGTAACCTACGTTCAGTGCTCCGTGTAGCGAAACTTCATATCAATAACACTTTATATCAATGACTAAAGTGACGTAAGTACAACTATTGCGATATTCGAAACACGAACTTGTGAAGCTACTATCTATTGAATATCAGACACATTTGCTCTAAACAGTGATAAAATATGATAATGACAACATTTTATATATTGTTCCTTTGAGCAAACTGAGGCTCTGCGGTGAAATACATAGGTAGTATAGTGTACAGTTAGGTAATGTAAGTATAGATTAGGCATGCTGTAACAAGGAAATCTCTACAACAGTTGATACAGACAAGTTACACAGTAAATGGTACAGCAGTGACGTCATTACAGCTAAAAGGGGAGGGGCGGTCTTTTGACCTGTGCCCACGGAATACTTATAAGACGAGCCTTAGATAATGTGGAACCTAGTTTATGTCTGTGAAAATAAAACAAAACTGAATCCCACAAAGCACACGGCAGACTAAGTTTTGCATTCTCAAACCATGTTTTATTTTCACTGACAAATGGACCATAAACTTTATTATACAGGTCCCGTCTTACTGGTGGACGTCGCTGCATTAACTAGACAACAGTGAACAGTATCTACAGAAGGATTAGTATTGCATCGGTCCGGGATAAACTAGACGAGTGAATGAGAGTGCTCGGTGGGAGTCTATCTGAGGGTGTGCCACATGGCGACGGCCTTGCGCGTCTCGTGCGCCATCTGTGCCCAGTGGCGGCCCTCCGCGGCGGGCTCGGCCGCGCCCACGCAGCACCACCCCACCACCAGCCCGCTGCCACCCCCGCTCACCACGCAAACCTGACCCAACACAACCACCATAATAAATTTACATAGATACCTATAGTGAAACGAAATATTTAATGCTAGGTAGGTATTGCTGTAGTCTGTCACTGCCTAAATAATGATAGGATGGCGGGAAAACTAAACATTCATCATAATTATTATAAGTCTATAAGTGCCCACTGCTGAGAAAAGGCCACTTGTCACACGGAGAAAGTTTGAGCATTAATCACCACGCTTCCTTAAGGCGGATTGGCGATTTCAAACTTATAATTAAAAATAATATTATTTTCTCACGATGTTTTCTGTACCTCAGTGGTGTCTAAATAATCTCAGAAAGTACTTATAACTTGGAAAAAAGTCTCATTGGTAGGTACTTGCCAGGTTTCGAACCCATGAGAAGCGGGCGCCAAAAATTCAGTTAATATTAGTTCATAGAATTAGTAATTACTAAATTATTGAAGACTTAGTGCCCAGACAGGCCAAATCTATCGCTTCCCAATTTCCCAATCAGTTTATAACAAGACAGAACAAGACAGGTTTGTCTTGTTCTATACTTATATATATTTATATTCTATATATATCTTATATTCTATAATTTCGAAAACAAACGGCGTTTTTGTTTATTCTTGAATACCTAAGCCTACAAGTTTATTTTATTAGACATGTGACGTTTCCATACCTCAATGGAAGCCTCCTGAAGGTTAGCAGACGGCAGGCTGAACGACAAGGCCTCGTTCCACACGGGGTTGTTGATCTCTTTTCTGTTAGTCTTCTTCTTTTTCACACGTTTTCCATTCACCAGCAAGTATACTTTTACATACACATCTGTAACAATCAATTAACTTGTTAGGAAGGTCAGGAAAGAAGGTATAAATGGTCTACTTATTAGGTATTCTGTTCAAAATATGGACAAATTAGGCTATGTACCTACGTCTATAATTTGGTAGGTAGTCAGCTACACAAAAATCACCTGACGGAGGTCTTCATAATATGACGATCGTTAAGCAGTAGGATAGACTAGCTGCCGAGGATATTAAAGCTATAAGAATACTATACATAATTATCTACGTAGGTACAAGGAACTTGTAAAGAATACGCAGCAATGTTATAGATGAAACAAGCTGAATACCAACCTAAAGCATCTTTCCCCTCCTGAGGTGGCAACAGATTCCTAGCTTTCAACACGACGACAGTAAGTCGCTCAGCCGACGGTAGGTAAGAAAGAGACAACAACAGTTCTTGCAGCTCCTCTGGTGGACGCCGCTCTCGGGATAGTTCGGCCCACACTTCGGCACCTCCGGCTACTTCGACGCGGGAGAGTGGCACCTTCGCGGAGCCCATCACCTCATTCCGAGAGAATCTGAAATGATGAAAGATTGTAGCTGATAGCATAGGAGTTTCATGGAATTATTTTCGTTTCATTATCTTATTTTAGCCGTCATGTGGCACAAGGCAGTGGTATTCATTACATATGATATGCACTCAACATTTTAATATATTTAAACTAACAATAGCAAGAAACGGATTCTCACTTGCAAATGGCCTTTCGAATTTGGATAGGCGTGAGAGCATATATAATTAATATAGGTAATCTCACCTGTCATAATCAAAAACTTGCAGCAGCAATGTCTTATCAGACAGCTCATCATGCGACACGGGGAACTTGAAGTGCTGGTCAAAGAATGGATTGGCTTCGTTCCGATGCACCGGGGTCTGACGGACTCGAGTGTCCACTTCGGGGAGTAAGGTGACTCGCACGTAGGGGTCGTTGAAACCCCCAGCCTCGTAGCCCGCCAAATCATGAGCTGAAATAAGAAGTACCAATATATTTACATGTAATGTATGTAGTTGGGCTATTATCATTAAGGAGGTGTATCTAAGTGAAATGGTAAGATAGCATCGCGATCTTACAGAAAATTTCCGTTTTCTAACATTAACATTGTCTGACCAGGGTAGCGATTCATTCAATTCCAACAAGAACAAGGTTCAACAGAAGGCAACACAAAATAGGTACCCAATGGCCGCAGCCATTAAGAGTAAAATAATTTTAAAATTCTATTAGTCAACGTGAAGCAAGCAATTTACGAAATTGATTGTTATGTCCATTTAAAACTAAATTAGTCAATAGTCTGCGTGTGTCGATTTCGTAGCAAACTGCTACGGGAGTGCTACGCGTAGCTACGCTACGCTATATTACATTTACAGGTATAATAATTTAGGTATACCTACTTATTACAAATCATGTAAAATTATACCTACACGTCTATTTTTAAACCTTATCTACATTGGTGTTTGATACGAATCCATTGTGGAATATGACTGTAACTGACCTTCACGACTTATAAATAGGCACACTAATGATATTTTCTATTTGTTTATTTTGGTGACATGACACGCTATTATGGGCAAGGTTGTTTGATGAAGGTGACCATAAGCCGAAATATTATGGTTATTACATAACCTAAGTACAGGCAAGTAAAAAAGGCGTAATGAAAAGGCGTATATACCTACCCATTTTATTAATTTCAACTTTATGTATTAGTATGAGAGTTGAAAATCTACTTATAAAGAATTTTTGGTAGCTTTGATATAAGTAAGCGTCTAACCCTATAAACCTTCCAAATGAAAAATGTGACTAATCCTCAATGAATCACAAATAATAGCAAGCTATCTAACATCGCAATCCTTAGGTATTCTACATTAATTAAGGAAGTCTTTCATTGATTTTTGTTGTACCTAACTAGAAGAGTTCAATTTCCTATCTTATTTCCTATGAAGTTGCAGGCATTATAATTAAGTTGTTGGAATGACTGGGTGTTTGAGATTATCTTATACAAAGATTAACAGAGATTTCATCATAACCGTGAGAGTTTGGTATCTTCAGGCTAGGCAGGGTTGGAGATCCCAGTTCAAAATAATAAGGTTTTATTAGACAGCGCTGCAGCCCGGTGTCTGTTAATTATTAAGTGCCTTAGTTGGCTCTTACAGTACTCGTGGTAAGAGAAGTATTGGTGACACACGTATTATTCTTTCTAGTAAAAAAAGTAGTTTCTGGCGCTGCCTGGGAAACTCTTCAAATGGCGTGAGTAGATGATTCTGGTGACCAATACATATATCCATCAGTCAGATAGATTACCTGATGGAAAGCAAACGGCGCTGCCTACATCACGTCATAGGAGTAAAAAGAGCGTTCTTGCCCTTTGGGTTCCGTTAGGGACTTCAGGGATGGTTATGGCGGATTGAGGGAAAGATTCGGCGCCCGGTAACCTTACTCACACGACGAAACTCAACGCAAAAAACGTTTCACAACGCTTTTCTATGAGGCTGCTAAGTACCAAAAAGAATTTAGTAATAAATTTCCTGCGTAGTTCTGATAACATAGATTTTCCTAAGCTGTCTGGACCAACTGCTTACCTTCAAGTCAACCGTATTAAACCTTGTTTGTTGCCAAGAAAATAAATATTGGCTTACCTTCAATAAGATGCACTTCCAAATCCGATCTATCGAAGTCGTACTTCAGGCGTAAGTGGATCCTGCCAAGGGATGGGCCGGCTCCTTCCAATTCTATCACAAGGGGTGCCTCGCGCTTGGTGTAGAGGTCTGGCTGCAGGGCTCCTAGCGAGCTGATGGCTGCGCTGGCCCCAGGGCTCAATGGACCTACTCCACTGCTGCTTTCTACTAAGGAGTTGCTGCGGTCTATCCGCCTGTAAAGATAAATGAGGGGGGAACATGAACATGAAACCCATATCGATCAAAATTATGACTTTAGGTTTAGGTAAGTCTAGTATTTTTAACTTAGGTAAGTCCAAGATATTCAACGAGTTTAAGTAAAGGTTAAATTTTCAGACAAAAAGAAATCTTTTTGTATCACCTACTGTACGGATTTATACCTAGCTGTACCCATATTGTAAACCTAACAATAAGAGAATCCATTTCCGATTCCATCAGTCGAAACAAAAGAAAAATCCCGTCTGTCTGTCTGTCTCAATTATCGTAGGAAATAATTAAAATGTACATTCGTTGTGAACAGCAAAGGAAAACATCGTATTTACTAGGAAACACAGCCGTGGATACAAAATCCAATGAACATAATGGACGTGCCGGTAATGGGGGGCGGATATGCTGAAGTTAAGCGCCTTAACGGCAACATGTGATTGTACCGAGAGAATGTATGGACCCGGCTGCCTGTTAGGGCAGTACTTTGTGTATTTACGTAATGTATGCCGATATCATATGTTTGTGGGTAATTAAATACATGGTTTATTGAACGAATAGACAATAAGAAATAGTTTTTGAAATCTGATCCAACAGACAAACTGTCTATACAGTTTTGTTGGACATTTTATACTTTTTATAATGTAAAATGTACCTTTTAAGCAATAATAAATAAATAATAAATAAGAATACTTGATTACTTGATTTTACTTCTAATTTCTAGAAATAGGTTCATAAGTTTCATTTTAGATTGAAATTTATATACTGAATTCAGAATTGCTTCTAATTATATTTATAAAATACCTCCTTCCCATAATTTAATTTCATGTCATACAATAGATCACTTTTCATTACCAATAAAAAAACTACGTTTAAAAAAACCGACTTCAAAAACAAAAATGTGTCAAATAAGTAATTAAAATTGATATTTTAATAGCACTCTTACGTACGCGAAGCTAATACTTTTAATATTAATAATAAAACACTATCAATAAAATTATATGTGCTACCTGATCATAGGTTTGAAGTCGGTGCCAAGCCCTAAACAGAATAAAACTAAATGAGAATTAAGACTGTTTAACTGCTAAAAGACCTCCTCCTTTTTTGAAGTCGGTTAAAAAGTGATTTTTCACTCACTAAAACCTGTCTTATCAGGTACTTTGGTATTTATCTATACTGGCAAATGAATGATTTTTAGGAGAAAATCATCAAATGACTTCTACGGCCCTGAGTGGGGCGAGAAAGAGTGACAGACTTACTGGCTAAAAACTATACAGTTTCTTGGCAGCCGGGGCCGCGGTAGATTATTGCGCTTACGGCTGCAACGCCCGCTAATAGATGAATGCTTAAGTAATTAAAATAGTCAATTCTTATAATAGTCAGAAAGCCTGACATTTTTTACGTCCAAATAAAATTTGTAAATATCAGTCAACAAAATTAATAAAGGCCAATGAATATAGAAACCTCACACAGTGCCTCCGTACCGTTCAATATACGTTCATATTTACGTACACAATCTATCCGAAACGCAGGTAACTAGGTCACGTCATTCATAGCAGGAACAGCTTTGTACAGGAAAATACATCCCCATCAATATTTTAACGGCACTAGCGAAAGATATTAATGAAATTAATTGAAGTATCATCCACACAGGAGTGGTGTTAATGGATTTTATCCGCTTTATCATAATAATGTAAGCCCTTAAGGTTTACATTGCCGGGATTCATGGCTCATTGTGAGGGTACGGGCTGTATATCCAGATTAAGACGTGGGTATAGATTAAGGCGTACATTGTGCTTGATAGAGTCGTCACGACTTCTTTGTCACGGGTCTCGAGAAAATCCAATATGGTAATCATATGATAACTGAATGTTTTATTGCATCTTTGGATAATAGGCTTGTTCTTTTGTTTCAGCTTGATTGTAATACATAAGTACTGTGCACTAAGTAGGTACACAAGTAACAAAGCAAAAGATAATTACCCACATTTCCATTCAAATGTACAATGTTGGGCTGAAATCTTCTGTATGGAAAAAAGCCCTTTTAATAAAATAAAGATTAAAAAAAAATTACAATGTCATTAGTTTAAGCTCTTAGCCATTAGTATATTTTTAATAAATATTTTCCTCTTCAGAAAAGATAGTCCATTTGCGAGAGCAGGTCAGGTGTAAAAGGGAATTTATGTTGCTTAATCTGATCCCCATTATTTTTTCCATTTCATACACTTGTGGAGTGTAACGTAAAACAAACATCCGCACACTAACGAGAATTTCTCTCGAACTTTTTCAACGAGAGTGGGACGGGAGGAGATTTAACGAAATTCTGTTTTTTTACTCCTACTTTAGATTGAAAGGTTTTTTATCTACTGTGAATTTGTTCAGTGCGTTATCTAGGTCAGATGGTGTTAGTTGAGTAATTATGTAATCTGGTGTTTTTTTTGTTGTCTTTCTGTTTTATGTTATTCACACAGGGTTTTTTTTTTATGTAATATCTCGGCAAACGCGCAGACGGATTACCTGATGGTAAGCAATCAGCGCCGCCCATGGACACTCGCAACGGAGGAGTTACGAGTGCGTTGCCGACCTTTTAGGGATTAGGGATTTGGAGATTTAGGGATTGAGGAGGGATTAGGGTTATTTCACGCCGGTTTTCTGTGAGGCCGTGGTATCACTCCGGTCGAGCCGACCCATTCGTGCCGAAGCATGGCTCACACTTGGAGTGTGGGTTTGGACCAGAATGGTTTGGAAGAAGTAAGTAATACAGCATTTAAGCTTTTTCTCGTTTCAGAGCCCGTGGCAAGAGGATTAAGTCACTATCGACGAGTCTTATGGAGATTAAGCAAAGTCGACAAGTGTTTAACAACACCAGGTACTTAATTACTTTCAGTAGACATTGATAGAGGGGTGATTTGGTAGTTTAAATCTTACAGTCTCAGTCTTAATCTTACAATAGGGCATCCAATTTTCAACTGAACCTGAAATTGAAAGCAATTTGAGCAAACCTCGTACCTTATGGTTGTGTTGGTGCTAGGACCGACCATAAAAATTAATTATTCAATACATTTACAAAAATTGGAAGTATATTATACGCTCATTGTGACAAATGAAATAATTTGATTTGAGAGTAACTATTTCAAAAATGAATATATTAATTATTGCATCTTTTTTTTCTGAAACTAAATATAACCTACGAAACTGCTTACGCAGTTTAACTGTGAGATCACTAACCTTCTTAAATAAAAATAATATAATTAAAAACGTTTTATGGTTACTGAGTCAAGCAATGGTTATATGTTTTGATGCTTCAAATGCTTAGGCCACACTAACGGGAAATGCGTCAAATATCGCTATAATTGATGATTTCATATCATCAATGAAAAATATACCTTAAATCATATGTTTAGTGATCAAACTAAACGTACGATTAACGTCACATTTCTCGTTAGTGTGGCCCAAGCTTAAAAATTTTACTTCAAAGTCAAAGTCAAAATGAAAATATTTTTTTTCAACTAAACCATAAACGGGTACTTTCGCAATATCGAAATAGAATGTAGTCTGTCAGTAAGTTCGTCAGTGAAGTTAGAATTTAATAAAAACACATAGTCTAGTTTAGTGTAAGAATTAGCTTCTGTCTTTATGTTAAATCAATCTTTACTATATTACTACCAAATACATGATAAACCTAGTATTTGGTATGTATTATCTCCTTTTATATATTTACAATGCTCACCAGTATTTACTTGCAAAATGTAGTCGGAGTAACGACGAACTAACAATTTCAACGAAAATCCTCGCATTTATATTTTATATAATTTTGATCAATCATATATTTGTAGTTCCACGTATTCATAATGTTATTACTCGTAACAATAAGCTTTTGTTTTATTGTTTTATCGATTATAGAATTAACTGTGCGTTCGATACATTATTTAGTTCCGTCGTTGGTGTTTATTTATTAATGTTAACTGACGGTCGCCCGGTGGTCGAAATAAAGATACAATTTATTGTAGGTCAATCATTGATCAATACAATAAATGTCACTTATTATTGGGTTATTTATTAAGTACGTTAAATTTACGAGATTTTGATGTATTTAAATAGTGGTAACTTTGTAAATAAGATTGTTTTATGGGCTAGGACTGAAAACTAACGGAAGCATAGCCTGATGATGACCAAATAAGTTCGCGTTTCGAAACTGTAAGTTTAATTATGTTTGGCAAACACTCACACGTTACCTGATGGTAAGTAACAAGTTCGCGCTGCCAGTAGACCAAAGGAGTTATAATTGCGCTACCGGTCTTTTGAGGGTTGTATGGAAATAGGAAATTAAAGATATCGTATTCGGCGATACAAATGAGAATGGGGAGTTACATTTACATACGTATTGTTTTACGTCAGTATTCCTCCTAGAAGCTTGAAGCATGAAACATGGCTATCCCACAGTTACTATTGTTTCATCATCATGGACAGACTTTCGCAGTCTAGTGCTGAAAAATGTGTTTCCCTACATAACAGGATTCCCTATCCGTAATTTCTACATCATCATCATCATCATCATCATCATCATCATCATCATCATCATCATCATCATCATCATCATCATCATCATCATAATCATCATCAGCCTATAAATGCCCACTGCTGAGCAAAGGCCTCTTCTCATACGGAGAAGGTTAGAGCATTAATCACCACGCTTGCTCAATGCGGGTTGGCGATTTCAAACTTATAATTAGAAATTATAAGTTCAGGTTTCCTCACGATGTTTACCTTCACCGTATGTCAGTGGTGTCTACATAAACATAGAAAGTACATATAACTCGGAAAAAGTCACATTGGTACTTGCCAGGTTTCGAACCCGCACCCTCATGCATGAGAAGCGGGCGCCTTAACCTCCGGGCCATCACGACATAATTTCTACACTTAACAGAAAAGTTGGTGCGCTATCTGTGGCCAGATCTCTGTCAAATTTGTCGTCCTTTTCTATTAAGGGG